GCTAGCACACATTTGTGCCAATTCAATTCAATTCATTATATATTTTACTCAGCACCTACTATATGCCAGGCACTGTGCTAAATGCTGGGGATACAAATAAGAAAAAAGAGATAGTCCTTGCCCTTATGGAGCTTATAATCAAATGTGGGAAGAGAACACACAAAAGTAAGCCAAAAAGTGGGGGCTATGGGGCAAGAGGGAGGAAGGCCACCAGGGGCCATGTTGTTCTGTGGAGTCAAAGCCAAGCAGAGCAACTGAGGGGAAATGGAGTGACCAGGAAGGTTGTGAGTCCTTTGTAAAGGAAGGGGTTGGGAGGAGTTTAGTTTGTGAAACATAAGTAGATCTGGAAAACTTCATTATGTAGATTCAAATATTGGGAGTCCACAAATCTTTCATGACATAATATAATTTAAAAATTTTAACTGACTGACATAAGTAAAAGCACAGTGAACTAGACTGTTCTTCCTATATGTTTTTTCCTATCAGAATATAAGCTTCTTTAGAGCAAGAAAAAGCTTGCTTTTCTATTTGTATAGCTAGCGCTTATCACATAGTGAGCAATTAATAGATGTATTTCATTAATTAATTAATTTACTTGTTAACTCATGTGCTTCTCATATTCTTGAGGTTCACTTGAATCTTACTCTCATTTTTGGAAAACTGCCTAAACATGAAGATTAATTTACCAGAGCTGGGAACATCTCTTGCTCCTCAGTCAGTCTACCCACTCTGTTTTCACAAAGGCAAACCAAAGCCTCTAATCCAATTGATTGATCTGGTGCTTTCTACTGGCTCAGTATTGAAGTAATAGCCAGCTATTCTCAGTTTCTATAATACTGCTGCCCATGGTGCTGACCACTTCTCTGCTAACAGGGCTGGTTAGAGAAGCCCATCTTTACTCATAATGCCTCTTCCATTCATGCTGCCTACCAAATAAAGTATTAAGTCCTGATCCTAACATTCAAGATCTTCTCTTATCTGACTCCAAATGCACTTATCCAGCTTGATGTTATGTTACTCCATTCCATGTATTCTATTTTCCAGGCAAGCAGACTATTTTCTGCCCACAATTCTCCTACTGCCTTCTCCCATCTGTGTGTCTTTGCTCATGCCATCCCAATGTCTAGAATGAATCTTGTCCCCTAGAGCCTCTATCCACTGCCATTCCTTTCTTCCTTCAAGTTTCAATTCATAAGCTACTTACTCTGTGAAGGTTTCCTTACTCTTTTTTGCCCCCTCCCATAAGAAGCATCTCTTTCTTTTCAAATTTCCTATAATTCTCTGACAAGAACTCTCCTTTGCATCATAGAGTGTGCTTGTCCTTCCTCCATTAGATTATAATCTTGTTGAACTTGGACATAACAGATATTTAATAAATATTTGTTGAATTATTGAATTGAATTGTTAATATCTAGGCATAGCTGCCCAATAGATAGTTGGAAATATAAGATGGGAACATTGAAGTGGTGTTCCATTGAGATATAGATGTGGTAGTCCTACGTAGAGATGGTAATTGAAATAATGTAAGTAGATACAATTACTAAAGGAAGATACAGAGAGACAAGAGGAGAGGGCTAAAATGGCCATAGAGGATACTCACCTTTAAGTGAGTGAAAAGGGGAATAATTAAAGATGCAAAAAGAGAACTATGGGACTAAAATGGCACAGAAGCTAGTGTGGAAGAGAAAAACAGGAAGAAGAGTGTGGCTAACAATTTCACATGATTCAGGAGGACTAAGGAAGGAGAAGATAGGATAAAAGTTGTTGAATTTAGTGGAAGGTCACTAATGACCTTAGAAAGAGCAGTTTCAGTAAAGTGGTGGGAACCAGAAGACAGATTGAAAGGGATTAGGGAGCGAATAGATTAATTAACCAACTAATCAGCAAATATTCATCAAGCACCTACTATGTTCCAGGCCCTGTGATAAGTGCTTGGTATATAAAAACAAAAATGAAATAATCCCTACTCTCACAGAACTTAGATTCTGTCTTATATTGGTTAGAACCTTTGGTAAGCAGACTCCAAAGTCAGGACTGGGTCCTCCCAGGACAGGTCACCATGGCCTTCAGATGGAGGGATAGGGTTTGAACCCTGGGTGTATGTGATCAAGCAACTAGAGTGGGTGAAGATAGGTTGTATTCTACCCCAGACATAAGGGACAGTTGGGCGTGACCTTCACCTATGCTTATTCCCAGCCTTCTCCAAATCTGCTTCTTCCTTCTGCTGTTCAGACTCCTAATCATTAAGCTTCTAAGTAGGCTTGATCCCCTAGGGTTTGGTCCCTAAGGGCTCCTAGGCATCCACAGCTGCAACTATGCAAGTACCAGTGGGAAAATTCTGCCCTCACTCCCAGCCATCCCCTTGCCCTCATCCCAAGATCACCTTGTGTCTTTGGCAGCCACTCTCAGAGGGCAGGCTCTTTGCTTGGGGGCAGTCACCTCTGAATAAGAGCCTTGCCTCTTTCCCTTTTCATTTCAGGTGGAATAGAATAAGTCTCAGGGCAGCTAGGTGGTGCAATGGATAGAGAATGCCAGGCCTGGAGTCAGGAAGACTCATCTTCCTAAGTTCAAATTTGGCCTCAGACACTTACTAGTTGTGTGACCCTCAGCAAGTCACTTCACCCTGTTTGCCTCAGTTTCCTCATCTGTAAAATGAGATGGAGAAGGAAATGGTAAACCACTCCAGTATCTCTGCCAAGAAAAGCCAAAATGGTGTCATGAAGAGTCAGACACAAATGAAAAGTGACTGAATAACGAGAGTAAGTTTCAGGATGAGGGTAGATGGATTGTGAGTTGCCATGAAGATATCATCACATTTTCTCTCCTCCTCTTTCTAATCTACCCCTCTTTCAAACTTCCCCATTACTGTCATATGCACACCGTCCTTCCAGTCACCCAGATTCTCAAAATCCTGCTGTCATCTCTAAATTTGCCCTTTCCCTAATAATTACATTTACAATCAGTTGCAACTTGTCAATTCTATTGCCAAGATCTCCCATCTTCTCTCTAGGCACACAGCCACTAGCCAGGTTCAGACCTTTGTCACCTCTTGCATGAACTATTGAAATAGCCTAACTGGTCTCTGTGTTTCAAATGTCTCCTGTTTCAAATTCATCTTTTGCTCAGCTGGCAAAGTAAGTTTCCTGAAGCACAGGTCTCACTGTGGATCTCACCCTTGCTTAATGTAGTCCAGTGGCTCCCAATTGATCCTAGGATCAAATATTATTTTGTTTTTAGCTAATCTTCTTAAAATTTATAGTTTGTGTGTTTTATAATGTATATTTATAAGAAAATATTTTATAATATATCTATTTATCATATATTTATAGTATTTTATAATATAGTTAATATGGTAGTACCTGTATATAATTTATAGCTAAGTAAATATATATTTATGTTGTTGCTGTTGTTCAGTCATTTTAAGTCATGTCCAGCTCTTTGTGACCCCATTTGGGGTTTTCTTGGCCAAGATACTGGAGTGGTTTGTCATTTCCTTCTCCAGTTTATTTTACAGATGATGAAACTGAGGCAAACAGAGTTAAGTGACTTGCCAGGGTCATGCAGCTAGTAAGTGTCTGAGGCTGGATTTAATCTCATAAAGATGAGTCTTCCTGACTGTCGGCCTGGCACACTATCTACTGCACTACCTATCTGCCCTCCAAAATATATATTTATGTGTGCATACAAATATTTATTTATATATACAAACACACATGTATAAACATACATACACATATATGTATGTGTGTTTATATATACATATATAAACGCACATATATGTACATATATGTCATTGTCCTAGGTGATGTAGAGGCATGGATTATATATTAATCTTTTTAGAATTCTGGTAATGAAAAGTTGGCAAGGGATAGAAGTAGCTGGCAATGATAGGGTCAAGGGAAAAGTTTTATAGAACAGGGGAGACCAGAAAATAATTTCTAGACTGAGAGGTAGGGAAGTAAGGACAATATTGAAAGTGTATGATATATTATTGATTAACCAAAGTCATGTGTAGTCCAGAAGGGCATGGGATCAAGGGTATATGTGAAAGGTATAGTGTGGGAAAGGAGGCCTACTTTACCTCCTCTGAGCCTGAAAGGAAAGAGGAGAGAATAGGTAAGTACACTGGTAAGTTTAGAGGAATATAGGAGGTAAATTGAGGGAGTTTACTTGCAATGAACATGCAAGTTCATTTTCTCAATAAAGTATAGGGGTGAGGTGAGCCATTAAGAGTGAGAAGGGTAGTATAGTATTGAGGGTTTGAGGAGAGATGAAAAAGCTTGAAATAGCTCATTTTGGTGATTTGTGGTAAGTCAATAGGAAATGAATCAGATTATTGCCATGCGGCAGTGAGGACTCAATTGAGATTAGATAATGGTAATCTGAAATGGGCCTGGTCAGCACAATTTCATGATTTCCTCTGGTAGCATTTGGCCACATGGGAGCAGAACTGGAAGAAATGAGTAATAGAAATTGCAGAGGGTTAGCAATATGGGAATGATGGAAGGGATTTTACAGTCTCTGCAGTTAATTATAGTTCACCAATTCTCTAACTGAGCAGAGCTGAAGCTACAGTTTGACCCAAGAACCTAAGAAGGAGGCTGATGGAAGAGTGTCTTGACTACTCCTGTCCAGCCATAGGGGAATGAAATCAATGATATCCTCATAGGGTCACGTGTTTTAATGGATGCAGTTGGCCTGAAGAATGGTTTGATTCATGTCACAGTCCTTTGCCAATAGCAGGAATGAATCCAAAATGCATTTTTCTCCTCCTTCTTCTCATGGGCACCTGCCAACAGTAGCTATTGCTACTCTTCAGCTTTGGAGAAAGAGTACTCCTTGGGTTTAGAACTATTTTCTTCTCACTTTGGTGTCAGTATATTCTAATATGTCAGGGCTGGGCCTCCATTTTTCATTAATTCCCATTTGCCGTCTGACTAAATAAGGGTGACTAAATAAAAGTGAATGCCTGATTTCTCATTCTTTCCTTGTGTTTCAAGGGCTTGACGGGCCCCCCAGGAGAATCTGGTGAGCCAGGAGGTCCTGGTCTGAGAGGAGATCCTGTAAGTGATGGCTAATTCAATTCCATGATTTTGATTCCAGGGACTTTCAGTCAACCAAGGGCAGGGACCCAAGAATGTTAGCAGTTATTTAGCTTTCTATAGACATTGCGTTAAAACTGACCTTTGATAGTGAAATTCATCTTTTGGATAATCAGGGCTCTTGAGGGGAATGAAATCTATTTCTTCAGAATTCATGACCCTTTTCTGTGCCCCAATCCAACCTGATAACTTTGGTTAACTTAGGTTTGGGCTTGATGAATGTTCACACACTCATTCATGCTCTTTTTAATTGACTTGCAGTAACAAAAGTTTTGTTTTCTTAGGGAGAACCTGGAACTGATAGTGATATTCGTGGTCCTCCGGGAGACAAAGGAAAGCAAGGTCGCCAGGTAAAGTCTGGTTCTGTATCTGTGGGGCACTGGGGCACAAGGGACTTGTGTCACCATGAATAGAGAATGAGGATAATCTTATGGCAGACCCATAACTAGGGCAGGACAATGAGGACTTGTCCCAGGGTGTGAAAATTTAAAGGCTCCAATAGTATGTGAAGTCCTACAGTGGTATAATAACAATTAAGTATAGCACCTAATGAGCAAGAATACTTAATGAAAATGGTTTCTAGCATACTGGTTGTTGAATCTTAAGGGATCTCTTGCTCAGTGTGAAACAATCTACCTCTCGTGGCCTCTTAGGAGTGTTTGAGAGTATGTTTCAGGCCCCTTGTTCCACGTATGTTTTGTGTTACTTTACTCAGGGAAAGAATGCTAATTTCTCTCTCTGTTGAGGCCCTCGGACACAGAACTGACAAAAGGAAAACTAGAGAGAAAAGGGAGATGAGAGGATATACGTACAATGCTTTTCAAATCCTAAAAGCACTATGCAAGTGCTAGTTACTATTCTTCTATTCTATTCTATTATTATTAATATATTAATGAATATATTATTACATATTATATACATTATATATAATTATACATATTATTTTCCTTCTCTTGAGACACCATGGTATACTGCAGAGGACACTGGGCCCAGAGGTCAGGAGCCTTGGCCTCTCATTCTGGCCCCAACACTAAGTATCTCTGTGGCCAAGTCACTGCCCTTTCCTAGGCTTCAGCTTCTGCACCTGTGAAGTGAGAAGGCTGGATGACAAATGATGTCTAAGCTTCCTCCTTGTTCTGAAATTCTGTCGTTTAGGGGAATTGTACTTAACACATCCCTCGTGCTGTGGAAGGGTTTGTTTTCCCTTCTGGGTAATGTCAGAACACTTTTAAATGTCTTTTCCCTTCTTTCTTAGATCCTCTTCTTCTTTTGGTGCTAAATAACTAACTGAGGCTAGGTACTCATAATTTTAAGGGGCATGAAAATAACTCAAAGCTCCATAGGAAAAAATAAAAGTATATTAACTTGTCAGTTGCTACTGGTTTGGTTTTTTTTTGGGGGGGGGCTAGGCAGTGGGGTTAAGTGACTTGCCCAGAGTCACACAGCTAGTAAGTGTTATGTTTCTGAGGCCGAATTTGAACTCAGGTCCTCCTGACTCCAGGGCCAGTACTCTATCCACTGTGCCATCTAGCTTCCCCCCCTTTTTTCAATTACTACTGTTTTTAAATAAATACTCTTAGCTCTCTATAGTACCAAGTACTAGTACCAAGGTGATAGAATTTGAATGATGACTTAGATACTGTAATTTATTAAAGAGACAATTGTGTATACACTTGTTGTTCAGTTATTTTCAGTTATGTCCTACTCTTCATGATCCCATTTGGGGGCTTTCTCAGCAAAGATACTGGAGTGGTTTGCCATTTCCTTCTCCAGCTCATTTGACAGATGAGGAAAGTGAGGCAAACAGGGTTAAGTGATTTGCCCAGGGTCACCCAGCTAGTAAATATCTGAAGCCGGATTTGAACTCAGGAAGATGAGTCTTCCTGACTCTAGGCCCAGTACTTTTTGCACTATGGCGCCCTGTACTACCACATGTACTCTCAGTTCCCTATAGACCTAGTACTGAAAGGCTAGAATTTAAATGCTAACTTAGACTACCATTGATTAGAAAGACAGGTGTGATGTAGTGTGAAGTTTGCAGGGCTTGGAATGAGAAGACTGAAACTCACAAGCTGTGTGATCCTGGGTAGGTCACTCAACCTTCCTGGGCCTCTGTCGCCTCATCTGTAAAGGAGGAGTTGGAGTAAGCTGCTAAGGTCCCTTCCAAATTGAACATTTTGGGATTCTGTGGGCAGTTATTTGCTTTCAAGTTGTTTCCAGGTCTGAGATGTTGGTTCTTTATCTGCGATTGTGGTCAATGAGTACCTGGGGCTCTAGCTTCCAGATCCCAAGCAAAATCCATTTTGAAAACGTTCCCCCAGAGAAGCCCACAACATTTGAGGAAACTGCGATTGATTATTGAGTCTATTGAGAGGCATGCTGATGTTCCCGACACCTGGCCAAAGAGGAGGAAGCTTTCTGTTTTCACCCTGGAACTGTCACTCACTTGGTTGTACAACCTGGAGAAAGTCGCTTCTCCTCTCTGGGCCTGAGTTTCTTACTCTGTGTAATGACAAGGCTTTACTAGATACTCCCCAAGGGCCCCTATAGCTCCCATGTACTATGGTCCTATGGTCTTTGCCACAAGAATCACAAAATTAGCCGCAACTACATCTTGAGAGCGAGTGAGTCCCCTTGGTGATGTGAGATCAGTGGGAACTCTGTGGTCACTTCAGAACTTAAAGAAAGAAACACGCATGGATGACAAGAAAATAGAAATTTCGAATATATAGGTTTTGCTTTTTGCCTAACTCCAACTTGTATGAAAACTGAGTATTCTTTATAGTTGGTCAATTTTCAGTGTCTTCTGAGATCTTCCCCCCTACCCCTTTAATTTTGAAAAAATGTTTTTTCCAATTACACATAAAGACAATTTTTAACATTTGTTTTTAAAATTTTTAAGTTCCAAATTCTATCCTTCCTTCCCTCCCCTCCACCCCTCCCTGAGATGTCAAGCAATTTGATATAGATTATACATGTGCAGTCAATGCAAAACATATTTCCATATTAGTCATTTTGTGAAAGATAACAAAAACCAGAAAACCCCCACAATAATAAAGTAAAAAAAAATATACTTTGATCAGCATTCAGACCCCATCAATTCCTTCTTTTTTCCTCCCTTTTCAAAGAGATTTTATTTTTGCTGGATGGTGAGAAGGCTGTAGCCTTTATTTGGGGGCACTCTGTATTCAGACCAATATGGTAGAAGTTGCCCATTGTTTTTTGGCCCGTGGCTTTCTCTATGTTGAGGAAACACAGGAGCAAAGTCATAAACCTGTCTCAAGAGATATATGGGGTATGCCCTCTATTACTCATGATAACCATATTCTTAACAGTTCCCAGGAGGCTATAGCTTCAACCTAAGGATCATGGTAATCCTTTGCTTGTTTTATGAATGAAGAAAGTGATCGTCAAGGTCTCCCATCAAATGGTAACTATAAATAACAGATACTTGGCTGGTAAGCCCATGAGGAACAGTCACATTAATTATCCATCATATTAGTTTAGTAAATACTGCAATGCTTGGCACATTGCTAGCTCTCAATGAGGCACTAAATACGTACTTTTAAAGAACTGAATTCAATAATTGGTGTTCATGTCCTGCCTTTGACGTACTAACTGTGTGATTCTGGGCAAATCTTGTAACTTCTCTGGGCTCTAGGCAATTTCCTAAGAGTATAAATTGTAAAGGAGATTCTGACCTGCATTGGTGCCCGGAGTTTCCTCACCTTTTAATTCTCTGTACCAATGGAACCAAAAGTCTAATTTCTATCCCTATTTAAGAAATAGGAGCTGAATGGCCCTAATCCCAAGGTATTAAGTTTCTTTTCTATTTAAATTAAATTCTTTAGGGGGGAAAAAAGAACAATATAAATTTCCCTATGTCCGTGGAAAATATATATTTCCTGGATTGAATAATCGGGGTTCAAATGCTGCCTCGTATTGACTCTGTGATCTTGGGCAGCTCACTTAACCTCTCTGTGCTCCTAGGTAACTGTCATAGGATCCTATGTTTAGACTGGAAGGATACTTAGAGGTCATTGAGTCTCTTCCCTTCCTCCCCCCATTTTACATATGAGGAAACTGAGGCCCTGAGAATTAAGAAATTTGCCGTGAGTCACTCAGGTGGGATTTGAGCCCATGCCCTTGTGACTCCAAGGGCAGAGCTCTACTGAGTCTACTCTGCTGCCTCTCATAAGATTATGCGTTTTAGGGCAAGAGGCCATCTGCAATGTTGGAGGAAGTTCCTTAGCTCGAGCTCCCTGTATCAACTCAGATGAAAAACGTGGCTGCCTTCCCTCCCCCTCCATCCACATCAAAGCTACACTGAGTATTTGCTTAAGGCCACAGCTGGGCAGTGACAATTTTCCAGCTTAATGAACATTGGAAGCTGCTCCTTCTTGTGGAAGCTGCCTCGTGACCTCAGTCTTGGGCCTGGAAGAGCTCTCATTTTTCATTTTGGCCGGAGGGGAGGCAGTAGTCCTCTTCCAAATCATTATCCATAATTCACAGCCCTCTTCAGCCCAGTCCGTTTTTCTTAAATGTCATCCGACTTGACGAGTATTGAACAAACACAGGTTCTGGTGTGGATCTAAGCTCACCCTGGGAAAACCTCAGTGATGGGCACCTTTTCTTCAGGATAGCCTTGGATCCTCATTTGTACTCTCAAGGAGAATAGACTGAGGCCCCCTCGTTGAAACCTTGTGTTACCTCCTCCATCAAGCCATTGACATCTGATAACCAACAGCAGTAGGTATTGATGAGTCAGCGTTTGCAGCGCCCTGTGAGCTTCATGAACCAGGGGAGTACTCTGCCCTCTCTGTGCTATTGTCACATGGGGAGTGGGCTATGCCAGTATGAAGCATGTAGGAGGTAAAGGGCCAATATCAGAATCATAGAATGTCAGAGGCAGAAAAGACCTTGAAGAGCATCAGTAATAATAACAACAACAATAATATCTCACGTTTCTACAGAATTTTGCGAAGCACTTTACATGCATTAATTCATTTTACCCCATGAACTGAGAACTACAGGTTTAATTCAATTCAACAAGCGTACATTAGTTGTCTACTATGTGCTGGGCACTCTCCTGTGGAGAGAAAAACAAAAATGAAATCTTGTTTGCTTTCAAGGGGCTTCCATTTTATGTTGGATGGTGGAGGGGGAGGGGGGCATAGCATGTAAACAGAAAAGTAAATATAATACAATTTGAGAAAGAAATGAGCACCAGTAATTAGGGAGCCCAGGAAAAATTTTCCATAGGAAGTGGCAAGTGATTTGAACCTTTAGAGGAAGCTAGTGGTGCATTGGATAGAGCACTGGACCTGGAGTTGGAAAGACCTGAGTTCAGATCCAGCCTTAAACTCTTACTAGCTGTGTAACCTTGGGCAAGTCATTTAATCTCTGTTTGACTCAGTTTCCTTTGCTGTGAAATGGGAATAATAATAGCACCTACCCCCCCCAGGGTTGTAGTGAGGATCAAATGAGATATTGGAGGTTAAGTGCCTGTTGACACATGGCCAGTAAGCATTAGGGTTGAGATTTAAGTCCAGGTATTTAAGATGCCAAGTCTAGCATTCTTGCCTCCTTGCCCTGTCTCCTCACACCTCCCTTCCAGCTTAATTTCCTCCATTTTACAGATTTAGAATCTGGGGACCAGAGAGTCTCAGTTTCTGAACGTGATTGATGAAAAGGGTATGTGACTGTGCTCAGTGTGATTAACTCCAATAAAGCCTTTAATGGAACTAAGCCTTTAAGGAAGGATCCTAAGCCTCTAGATTTATATTTAGACAGGGACTGGAGGAGCTATCAGTTCTATGCCCTTATTTTACTTGAGAAGAAACCAAGGACCAGAGAGTTTGAGTGACCCATCTGCAGTCACAGCAGCAGTCAAGGGGCAGAGCCAGGATTTGCCTACATATTCTCAGACTCTGGGTGCTGTGCTCCATCTCCTGCAAGATGCCCTGAGAACTCTGGAATTTCAAAATGCTGCATTTGGCTGTCGTTTGATGGAGAGAACCGACAAGGAAATATGAATGAATCCAAAGTCCTCTTATTTTTCAGGGAAAGCCTGCAGTCTATGCTGAGGGAGGCATGGCTGGAGAGCGAGGCGCGCATGTAGGTATAAGCTGTGTTTGACACTGCTTCCTGTGGGACGCAGATGTTTTCTGGATTTTCTTATCTCCCTGTCAATCCTCTGCCTGACTGAAATTGTTCCTTTTTATTCTTCCCCAGGGGCCGAGAGGTAGAAGGGGTTTACCTGGACCAAAGGTTGGTGCTCTCCCATGAGGCTACACTTTGCCCAGAGATATTTATACCGTTCTCTCGTTTGTGACCATTTGACTCTCAGGTCAATGGGAGTGGTGTCTCATGTTTTTCAGGGGCATGATTTGACTTTTCTTTCAGTTTCATGAAGACCATTGGGAAGTTTGGGGCTTGTTCATGGGGGAAATTTTCCATAGACATGGGGAAGCTTATATTGTTTTCTTTTTCCTAGAGTTTTTTGTTTATGAAGGCATTTTCTAGAGTTTTTCATTTATTAAGCTCCTACTATGTGTCTAGAAGTTTTTCATTTATAAAGGAATTTTCTAGAGTTTTTCATTTATTAAACTCCTACTATGTTCAGATACCATGCTAAGAGCTTTACAAATATTTTCTCAATTTGGTTCTCACAACAATGCTGAGAGATAGGTGCTATTCATTTTGCAGTTAAGGAAACTGAGGCAGACAAAGGTTGGGTGATTTGCCCAGTGTCACACAGCTAGTCAGTGTTGGAGGACAGATTTGAACGCAGCTCTTCCAGACTCCAGACCCAGTGCTCTGTTAACTATGGTGCCCCACAGCTGCCTTTAAAAGAAACTGAATACCTTTGAATAAGAGCCACTCAGCTCTTAGATCTGAAATAGAGATAGATTTTAGACCTCTGGTTTCATTGGTATAGAGAATTCCTGGGTGAGGGAACTCATTCTCCTGGTCCAGGCAGGCACCTCCTCTTTGCTAGAGGTCCCACCAACAGGGTTTGTCAGAGGTAGGACTTGGGTCCTTCTGATTCCAAGATCATTTCTCTCTTCTCTGTACCCCCGATGCCTCTTGTCTCTTGACTAATGAGAATGATTAGGTGCGCTAGGAACTGGCTAAAACTAGGAGCAATGGATGAATGTTACAGGGAGATTCAATATAAGGGAAAATTTCCAAACTATTAAAGCTGTCTAAAAATAGAAGAGACTGTCTAAAAATAGAAGAGACTGAGTTTCCTGTCAATCAAGGTGTTCAAGTAGAGGCTGGGAAGGAATTTTCTATACGAGCCTCATGATTTATGTAGAGGTTGGATTAGATGAACTCTGAGATCCCCAATAACTTTATTAACTCCATGAATCTATGGCATTGACTTGAAGAGGTGACGGTTATGCACAGAAGTGAAGAGAAATCCTTGTTACTTACAGTAGTCAATTACTTCTTGGGCTAGAAGAGAATTTCAAGAAGTTCTCTTAATGCCGATAGAATGGTGGGGCAGGCATGTTGGAAAGCTGGCTCTCAGAGGGTTTGTGATGGATTGTATTAAGAACAGAGTCTGAGCACAGAGGCTGGAGAGCATGTCAAAGCAAAGGATGAAGAGTGCACCTGCTTTTATGGAAGCTGGTAGTAGCTGTGAATCAGTGTGAAGGACTGCCCATAGCAGTAGGTGTCTAGTCTGGTTACAAATTACTGAGCAAGGGGAGGGGGCATTTCAGGTCTTCAGGTAGAGCTTTCTACAGGTTTGGGGAGAGTGAGTCTTGGGGAAAAAGAGAGGCTGATTCACCCCATTGGTGTTACCGACCCTGAGAGTGAATGTGTGCTGGGTCCCAGCGCCGTTCCCCACAAAGGGTTTTCTTGGCAAATAAACTGTAGTGATTTGCCATTTCCTTTTCCAGCTCATTTTGTAGATGAGGAAACTGAGGCAAACAGGGTTAAGTGACTTGCCCAGGGTCACACAGTTAGCAAGTATCTAGGGCCAAATTTGAACTCGAGTCCTCCTGACTTTAGGGCCGGCACTCTTTCCTTTGCACCACCTAGCTGCCCTTTGTTCATTTTGTACATAGTTTATATCTTCATATGTAGGGCGCCTCCAAAGTCTTAATGCAGTTTTAAGCTTTAATCCCTTCAGAAGTGTAAATGTTACAAACTTATAAAACTTATAAAGAACTCATAAAAATTTGAAACTGGTAAACATAAAAACTTATAAAAAATAACACTTGAAAGGTTAATTATTTAAAATTTTAAAATATTTTATGTTTCTTATTAGAATTCAACATAACTACCATCCTGTGGATTTTTTTTGGCAATAACTTTCACCAGCTCCTGCTTGGAGGCTGAAAGGATTATATTTGAAGTATAAGCCTTGACATCATCCAAAGAATGAGGGTTTGATGCATATATGACAGTTTTGACATGAACCCGCAAGAAAAAGTCTAGTAGAGCTAGATTCAGGGGACTGAGGAGGCCAAGTGTGACGACCTCCTCCACCGATCCACTGAACAGCAAAAGTGTTATCCAGAAACTGACACACTCTTGATGCTTAAGGTAACAAGGTGCTCCATCTTGTTAAAATTAAAATGAAAACTTTATTATTCAAAATTTACCAAACTAAGTAAGTATAGAAGACACTTAAATACTTAAAACTTTCAAATTCTGTATTTTTAAAAAGTTTGTAGAATTTACATTTTTGGAGTTATTAAAAATTAAAACTAAAATAAGACTTTAGGAACACACACATATCTACATAGCATCTACCCTGATAGAACGTAAACTCCTTGAGGCCCCGAGGAACTGCTTTTTCTTTGTATCACCAGCATGTAGCACTGTGTTGCCTCCCACATAGTAAATACTTAAAGCTTGATGGATTCCTCTTGGCATTTATTTGAATGCGGAGAATGTCTTGTCAGAGTCCATCCAACTGTTCTCCTGGATTTTCTGAGTACTATAGGGGGTAGCATGAGATTGGACCCTTTTACCTCTGAGCACAGATGGCATTCGGGGTGTACTTAGGTATCAGGCTTCTTGGATACAAAGGGAAGGGAATAATGTGGAAATAAATCAGATAAGCCCCCCATGGATCTTAAGAGAAAGGCGCACTTTCGAGAAACTAAATCTGCTTTGTAATTTTTAAGAGAAATTATCTCTTCTTGTTAAAAAGTTAGGCTTTTGAAAACAAGTCATGATACCGAACTCATTGCTCATGTCTTTATCTCATTTTGACCAATAAGAGGAGGAAGAAACCCCCAAAGATTTAAAATCTCATTTTAGCTTATTTTTTCTTTTTAAAAAAATTATTTTATTTTTCCCCAATTACATGTAAAAACAAAATTTTAACATTCTTTTTTCAAATTTTGACTTCCAAATTCTCTCCCTCCCCTCTATTCTCCCCCTCATTGGAAAAACTTTTGGGGGCAGCTAGGTGGTGCAGTGTATAGAGCACCGTTCCTGAAGTCAGGAGGACCTGAGTTCAAATCTGGCCTCAGACCAAACACTTGACACTTACTAGCTGTGTGACCCTGAGCAAGTCACTTAACCCCAATTGCCGAAAAGAAAGAAAAGAAAAGGCAAGCAATTTGACATAGGTTATACATGGATAGTCATGCAAAACTCATTTCCATGTAAGTCATGCTGTGAAACAAAACACAGACAAAAAATCTTCAAGAAAAATAAAGGAAAGCAAAAAGTATCCTTGATCTGCATTCAGGTTCCACCAGTTCTTTCTCTGGAGATGGAAAGCATGTTTCATCATAAGTCCCTCAGAATTGTCTTGGAGCATTGTATTCCCGCTTATTTTTTCACCAACAGAACAGAAAAGAAATAGATTGAGAGTTTACCTGAATTAGCTTTGGAGAAACTAGGTTGCTCTGAACAATTAGGTCTCCTCCTTTGGGATATTTTAGAATATGGTGTTCTTTTTAGAAGGATACCCACTGCACAGATGTTGGGGGAAACTGGGGTTATCTTTTTTGTTGCTGAGACATATTTTGGTTTTTTTAAGGTCTACAGAGATCCACAGAGCTTCATTCTGGGAATTACCTGCAGTTTTTCTCCTTCCTAATGCAGTATTTCTGGGTCTTCCCTCCATCCAACCCTGAGCAGACAGGGTTGCCTGGAGGGGTTGAGGGGATGGGCTACACATAAGGTAGGTGAGACATAGGAAGAACAGGAGTAAGAAGAGTAGAGGGTCATGGCTCCTTCACCCATCCAAAGGGGTGAATGAGGAAGGCTGCCTGTAAGCAAATGAGCCTCATAGCCTCAGATGGGGCAAAGAGAAGAGCTATGGCTTTAGGGCATAACCCTGGTGAGGTCCATAATGCCAGCCCGCGAGCCAGCCTCCTGATCATAGAGCCTGATCTGTCCATGTCCCTTGACATGGCACTCATTTAGAACCCCTTTCTTTGTTGGAGTGCTGTCCAGGGTCCTGATGCTAGGATGGGAGGCTGTCATCTGTTCCCGCCTCTGATTCTTTCAGCACTGTTTTAAATATGTGGTGGGAGAGGAGTCAGCTGCTGAGAACTTCTAAGGACAAAATCAGCCTCAGACACTAGCTGTTTAGCCCTTGGCAAGTCACATAATGTGTCTGCCTCAGTTTCCTCACTTGCAAAATGGGGATAATAACAGCACCTACCTCTCAGGGTTATTGTGAGGATCAAGTGAGATAGTATTTGTGAAGCACTTAACACAATTCCTGGCACACTAAGTGCTTAATAAATGCTGATTCACTTCCCTTCCCTTTCCCTAAGGAACTGTAGCAGGTGAGAGGAGACAGAGAGCTCCTTGTTTTTGTTTGTTTGTTGTTGTTTTAACATCTAAGGTCCCTACTGCATTGTGTAGATCCCCTGTGGCAATAGGATATAGATGAAAGTCACACAGGATGGGCAAGAATGGCATCATGGTGCATGGAATGTGGACTGGATTTGGTTTCACTTGAACCTTGGCTCTGCCTCTTGACTATCTGTGGGATCTCGGACAGATCACTTCACTTATCTTTGCTTTGCTTTCCTCATCTGTAAAATAAGGGATTTGGACTAGATGCCCTCTGAAGTCTCCCCTGGCTCTGAATCTATGGTCTTTGCTGTCCCCTTACGCTTGGGCAGGTGGCTGTTTGCATCATTGCAGGGAATGCCCACAGGGATGAAATTACAGTTCCATAGGAATCCTGTAGATAATAGACACTGACATCACATAATCGTAATTACACATATGATGAATAGCAAAGTACTGTTTTTCCTTTTGCTGTAGGTTTTGCTTAAGAGAGCCACTGAGGTTACGTTAGGTGTCTCATGTTGAGAGCAACTAAGTGGCGCAGTGGAAAGAATGCTCGAATTGGAGTCAGGAAGACCTATGCAAATCCTGCCTTTGACACTTACGTGGGAGGGTGACTCTGAACAAATCGCTTGATTTCTCGCAGCTTCCGTTTCTTCATCTGTAAAATGCAGATGATAATAATAATGAAGTTTCATCTGTTCATTCTTCTTAAAATGATATGAACTATTTGCTGTTCCCATTTCTTGTATTGCCTTCTTCCACTAAGCAGTTGTTCGTGCCTTTCCATGTTCTCAGAATACACTGCCCCTCATCTTAGCCCACTAATGTCTCTTTCTTCCTACAAGGTCCAACTTACATGGATAACTCCTCCTGGAAGTCTTCCTTGTTTGTGTCCTCCACACTTAATCCCACACCAAATAAATGTGGTCTCTCCTCAGTTGCTCATGGAACTTTACCTGCACTTCTCCTTTCCACCTCACCTATTTGTTTGAGGACATAAGGTGTAAGAGATAGAGAGATGAACTTTGAATCGGTGCCTTGGATGCAGATCAAAGATACTTTTTGCTTTCCTTTATTTTTCTTGGGGATTTTTTGTCTGTGTTTTGTTTCACAGCATGACTTACATGGAAATGAGTTTTGCGTGACTATCCGTGTATAACCTATGTCAAATTGCTTGCCTTTTCTTTTTTTCTTTCTTTTAGGCAGTTGGGATTAAGTGACTTGCCCATAGGCAAGTCACTTAATCATTATGATACCTAGTTTCCCTGTCTGCAAAATGGGGAGATGATTCCTGTGATATTGCCTCATAGGATTGTTTTGATCAGTGGTTTCTTAAGTGGAGGTGGGAGCTTGAACCTATGGTGTGTATGATCAGCCAATTGGAGGATAAAAAGATGGATCATCATAATAATAGCACCTAATAAATAATAATAATAATGTGTCATATAATAATAGCACCTAAATTAGCTGTTTATTTCAAGGATGGAAATAGAGGATATTTGTAAAATGCCTTACCAACTTAAAGCGCTACATAAAGATTAGCTATTATCATCATTTTTTGAGAGAATCTATTAGGTGAATTCTCATTCTCCTGGCTTCCCCTGAAAGTTAGCCAAAGTTGAGCCCAAATGAAGGAAAAGTAACAGATTTCTAAGACCATTGACTACATGGTTTACATATGACTTAATGGTCAGTGTTTTCTACAGAGATTTTCCTCTTTCTTCTCTGAAGGAAAGATACTGGAACTGGGGGGTAGAAAGAATCTAGCCCAGTGTTTCTTCAGAACACCAGATGGAAAGTCCCTATACTTCCTCTCCTCCCTCTCCTTTTCCTCCTCCTCCTCTTCCTCATTTCTGCTTGCTCCAGTCCTTTGAATTTTATCCTTTTCAGCAAAGAATTCCCCCCACCAGCTGTCTTTCTCATTCTTTTTTTGTAGTCCAAGAATGCTGTGTAGGAGGGAGAGATTGCGCTCTGGAAGCCGTGGTCCCACTGGCCTAATGAAAAGCTCCAAGGAAACTCGCTTGTTTGCTTTGAGAATATCATCCAGGAGACTGACCACTTCTATATATCACACAATATTTTGCATTCCATGGAGTATATGAATTTTTAAACTCGTTTGATGAAAGAGCGTGGTATCCATTAAGAAGAAGAATAGTTGGGGCTACCAACCCGGGATTGATTATGACATGCTGGCCTTATATACTGAACAGTTTTTAAAAAGCTGAATGTAACAGTTCACTAAAGAGATGTATATGTTTTTTGAGCAGCCTGACATGGGTTTCTGCTTTCTTTTCATCTTGGCAGGGTGTGTCTGGAGAAACTGGTATACATGGTAACAGTGGAATTCCTGGACGTCCAGGCTTAGAGGTTGGTCTAACACAGCCTACTTTACCTTCTGTGGTGATGTTTTTTGGTTTTACTTTATTTTTGTTTTTGCTCTGTTCTATTGTTCTTTGAAAATTCATTTTAGAAGACTTTTAAGTCTAAATAAAAATGCCCTTGGGAATCCTTTCCATTGGCGCCTCCTGGGAAGGGGAAGGGGCATCATGTTTTCTATCCTCTCTTCTTGGAATTTACTGAAACTGTGTCTATAAAGTCAAGTCAACAAGCATATATTAAGCACCTACTGTATGCCATGCACCTTGATAAGCCCTGGGGATACAAAGAAAGACAAAAAGTGGCCTTGCCCTCATGGAACTCCCAATCTAAAGGAGAAGGATAACATGCAAACAGCTGCATAAAAACTGTACATACATATATAGAGTAAGAAGTAAGAAGATTGAGAAAGTAGGAAAGGACCAGGTTATGAAGCGTAAAATAAAAATCCAAACAGAGGATTTTTATTTGATCTTGGAGGTGATAATATGGAGTTTGTGTTGAGTGTGTGTGTGTGTGTGTGTGGTGGATGGACTGGAGTAGGGAGAGCCTTGAGACAGAGACAAAACCCAGCTGGCTGTTGTAAGTAGTCTAAGCATGAGGTGACAAGGACCTGTCATAGGGTAGCAGCAGTGTTAGAGGAGGGAACAGAGTGTATATAAGAGATGTTGCCAAGTTAGAAGTGATAAGACTTGGAAACAAGTTAGATATAAATAGAAAAAGCAATAGAGATATGGATCTCCAATATCCCATGTCATATATATATATATATATATTATACATACACACACAGATATGTATCTTGTATGTATATATTAAGTCTTTAGATTTCAGAATTCTGTAATCCCAGGCTTGGCTACTTTGAACGTATGTGACTTTGGCAAATCTTTTACCTTAATTTCTTCCCCCTGTGAAATATGGATATTAGATTTCAGGGGTTGTTAACCTGTGGAGGAGAGAGGCAGATACTTGGAAATGAAGGTGATCTAAAAACAAATGATCTTCAAAACACACTTTTTAAAAAAAAAAAGGAGAAAAAAACTTATCAGTGGCATATATTAACTTTGCAGCACCCCTCTCACAACCCTAATTTCCCTCTTTGATACCTCCCTGCCCTACAGGGTTTTTTTGGGGGTGGTAACCATGCTTCTGATGATGATTCAAGGAGAGATCAGTAACGCCTCTCATAATTGTAATTTTCCTGTTGGGATGTAACCATGCAGCTCAATTTAGGGAGATTTTTTTCCAATATTTCTCCTAGCAGCCTCTTTGCCAAAATCAATGATGCTGAGACAAGAAAGGGGTTCACAGCAATTCCATGGAAAAATAAAGCATTGAAAATCAATAAGGAAAAGATGGTTAGTGAGAAATGAATGACTCTAACTGCAGTACATTTTTGGTCTGGTCTGGGCAGCACAAATGGACTTTCATTTTGTTGAAAATGTGAACGTGGCGTCTCATCCTTTGTCCTTGATGTGTAAGGAGAAGTTCTTCGAATGAGATAATTTTCCTCCTTCAGTATTTAAGAAAAATTAGATTGAATTTTTCAGGGTGCACCAACCAAAAGATCAGGGGCCCTGGAAACAGGTAGAGGATGAGTCCAAAAGCCTCACAAATCCTGGCCAGGATTTGTTCCATGTATATACTTTTAAGCCAATCCAGTAAGCATTTATTAAACTAGAAAAATGATTACAGACACAAGGATTTACTTGACTAAACATCATTTGGACCTATAACTTCCTTTTCTGTTTGCTCTCATTTCTCACTGCATATCTTTGAGTGAATTGTTCTGCCATCGTTGATGGCAGTGTAGACCCCCCTCCCCTCATTTCCCCGGAAGGCTGGATCCCCAGAGAGGAATTTGCTACTACTTTCAGAGTCCTGGGGGATAAATCTTAGGGTAACTATACTCCTAACTGTCTAGCTCTTGAGATCCTACCAGTGTTCCATTATTGGATTAGCCAGCTGACTCAGTTAACTCTTAACAAAGACATTCACTCCACAGTCAAAGCAAGAATAATAATTACATAGCATTTCACCTATACATCTATTTCCCAGATAAACACAGTGTCTATAGAAAGGGTGGGCACAAACTTGAATTACGATGGTAGTAAGGCGTAGGTGACGAAGGTGGCTCACCTCTCTAGAGCTGTGGGCCTCACTATCCTTTCTCCTTCTCAGGGACTGTCCTCACAAAGTTCACTGATGGATGTGGTATCTGTGTGGGATTTGAGTAATTCTGTGTTCTTTCAGAAAGAGCAGAAACCCTTAGCCTGGGGTTTGTAGATGCTTCCCAAGTTCTGCTGTCTTGGCAGGACTCTTAGAACTTTGTACCTCCTAAGCAGCAAGTGGTATTTCAAAGAGACATAGCTTCTCTTTTTCACTGACCACATCTTCTAAGTAACTGGTAGCATATGCCGAAGTATAGCTTATCTTCAACCAGGCTCTCACAAGTCTCTTTGACCCCTCCTCTGCTCTTGGTTCAGGGCTGGATCTCCTCAGTGAAAGTCATTTCTCTAACTTACAGTCACCAGACGGGGCACTTACCAAATCCTCACCTCTGTAGACTAATCCTGGGCTCCTGCTAAAGCAAGGGACGTTTGCCTGATATGCACAAAACAGTTCTGGGGTTCAAGGTTTCCCAGTTTTTAACTCTAAAGTTCTCCTGTTGTTTTACACAAGTGAGTAGGTGGGATGCCAGACCCTGAGGCAATCTTTGCCTTGGTCTAGGGTGCAGCCTCTGTGGACTGCCTTCTTCCTGTTTTCCATGGACCACATTTGTCTTTGGCCTTTTCAGTCAGCAAAATTGCCAGGTTGTCGCTATAGGAACACAACGTTGTCTGCAGAAAGAAGATTCATTTAACAAATGCTTATTAATAAAGACCTACTATTATGTTCAATGTTCTGTGGTGAGGGCTAGAGGGAAATACGAAGATAAAATACAGATTTCTGCTCTAAATCCAATCTAAGTCAATCCAACAAGTATTTATGATGCAGCTGATGGTGCCACAGTGCATAGAGCATGGGCCTGGAGTCAGGAAGACCTGAGTTCAAATCTGGACTCAGTCTCTTACTAGTTGTGTGCCCCTGGCTAAGTCACTTAACTGTTGTCTCAGTTTTTTCAACTGTAAAATGTAAAGAATAACACCTGCCTTCCAGGGTGGGTTTTGAGGATCAAATGAGACCATGTTTGTAAAGTTCTTAGCAAAGCTTAAAGTATATGTATAAATATAATATATAAACACATTACATTATAATTATAAATATATAAATATGTACGTAAAGTTCTTTGCAAAGCTTAAAGTATACATATAAATATGATATAAAGTATATACTATATAATGTAATACAAAGTATATATAAGTGCTAACTATTATTATTTTTGCTGCTGTTATTAAGTGCCTACTGTGTGTAACATACTATACTAAGCACTATGGAGACAAATACAAGATGAAAAACAATCCCTGCCATCAAGGAGATTTTATTATAGGAGAGCCAGAGTTCTTACCCTGTCATGGATCCCTTTGGGGGTGTCTGGTGAAGCATGTGGACTCCTCAGAACAAATTCTTTAAATGTGTAAAATAAAATTACAAAGGAAGCCAATTACAGGGAAATATAGTTATCAAAATCTTTTTTTAAAGAAACAAGTCCTGGGTTATGGACCCAGGTTAAGAATCCTTATACTCAAGGGATACAACCCAAATGGAGAAGTTTGTACAGGCCAGAGCGAGGAGGAAGAAGGCATTGACCACTAAGGGCATCAGGAGGGGCTTCCTGTAGGAGGTGGTGCCCAAGCTGGGCCTGAAGGAAGCTGGCTATCCAAGAGGCAGAGGTGAGGATAGAGTATGTTCCAGGCATGGGTGCACCGTTGTACCAAGCCACAGAGGCGGGAAATAGAGTCCATCTATTTGGAAAATGACCTAGACGGTAATTTGGCTAGAATGTACGATGAATGAAGGGAAGTGATGTGAAACCAGGCAGTAAAGTTAGGTCCTGTTTGTGAAGAGCCTTAAATGTTATTTTGTTTGGCCTGAGTCTTCCAGGGCCAAGAGTAGGGGCTGTTTTTGAAAGTCTTATAAACAGAGGGACAGCAAGTCATTTATCATTCTTCAGTTAACAAGGCCATTGGAATTGTGTTGGAGCCTACATGCCTTTTTGCAAAGTTAACATTTCTTTTTAATTGTTGGATCAGGGTCCAAGAGGTGAACAAGGACCGCCAGGAATATATGGACAGCACGGCTTACCGGGAGACTGGGTAGGCTTTCTCCACCCCATCCTTGTTGAGTGATGCTGTGTCATACCCCTGGATGGATTCTAGATAACTGTTACTCATCTCCAGCTTCTTCAGACTGTCAAGTCACTGATTCCCTGTTAGCCACAAATCTGAGCTAGAAAGGAGATCAAAGGCATGGACAGAACTGGAGGTCTCAGAAGGGTGGCTCAGTAGGACTATATGAATTCTTTCCTTGTTCTCACTTGTCTCCCATTAAGAGGGAATCTGGCCCCCAGGCAGTCAGTCAGCAAGTACTCTGTGTTGGGCCCTGTGCTAAGCATCAGAGCTGCAAAGAAAAGTTGTTAACAACACAGTTCCTGCCCTCAAGGAACTCACATTCTAATGGTAGACACAACATGTAAATAAGTAACTATGTAAGGACAAGATATGTAATAGATAGATGGAAGGTCATCTCAGAGGGAAGGTGCTAGAAGGGGCTGGGGATCAGAGAAAGATTTCTTTGAGAAAGTGGAGTTTCATCTAAGACTTGACAGAAACTGGAAGGTAGAGAGGAGGAAGGACAGACAGCATTCCAGGAAAGGGGGGCAGCCAATGGAGAAGGGAGAGTCACAAACGATTGTGTTTCTTTCTACTTTTTTCCCTGTGATGTCCTGTGACTAGATTAAATAAAAATTCAGGCCTCAGTTTACTGAATCTGGGCAATGCTGGGTATTACCTCAAATGACGGGAGAACCTTCCATTCCATTTCATGTCTTTTTGAACTGGACCCATTGATAGAGGGACTCCTTATGAGGAAAGTGCCTCCATTAATGTAGACTGACAACTTCTGGTCTTCTAGATTAGTTGTCTAGAGCAGGGCTTCTTAAACATTTTCCATTCACGACCCCTTCAGTGCTTCTTAAACCATGGGGTCATGACCCACAGTTTAAGAAGCGCTAGTCTAGAGCATTGAGAAGTGAAGTGACTAAAGGGTTGGGGACAGAGGGTGGAAAGTGGAGGTGTCACATAACCAGTATGTGTCAGAGACTGGACATAAACATAATAATAATATTAAGAAGAAGAATGATAATAATCTCTGCAATAGAATGTTTCTTGTCCCTCCTGTAACCCGGGTTTTAATTGAACATCATACTTTTTTCTTTTTTAAAAATACATTTATTATTTATTTTTAAAAATTCATTTTTGAAAAATTTTGAACTCCAAATTGTCTCTCTCCTTCCTTCCCCTCCCCCATCCACTGAGAAGACAAGTGATGAAATATCATCCCTTTTGAGAGGATTGAATGGGTTAGACAATTAAAACATCCAGGCCCAACTCTGCGTGTCTCAGGTGACACCTGAGTTCTAGAATAAACTCAGTTACCATATGCCACTCATGGGGAGAGCTGAATCGAATGCTCTGCCCGTATTTCCATATTGTTGGTTAACAAATGAACCACTGCTCAGGTTTCATGTGATCTTGCTGGTGATCTTACATGGTCCATCTGTTTCAGGGGATGCCTGGGCCACAAGGCCCACTTGGTCCTAAAGGGGGTGCTGGGCCGAGGGGAATGAAGGTGAGTATCAGCTGTAGTCTTCCTGATTTGCTAATTAGAAAAGCAGTTTGTGTTATGCTAATTTGACAGTTTCTAGTCTTATCTACAAGACTAGCACTTTCTATAACAAGCAGAGGTATTGATGATCTTATAGCCATTCAGACACAAACAGATGAGTGCTTATGTATTTATCAATCAATCAATAAGCATTTATTAAGAGGGAGCACGTTCTAGACAGGGAGGTGGAAGGGTACCATAGAGTGTTGGGCCTGGGGAAGAGCCAGGTTGGCTTCATAAATGGGGCAGGGAGGATAACTCCTGAAAAAACCCACTGGAGCCCTACCAGGAGGGTCAGGAGGGTCAATGTGAACATTTACATTTTAGACATCAGCAACCTACAAATCACGGCTCAATTTACTGTTTTGTTGATTAGACTGCAGAATAAACCCCAAAGTAGGTCATGCATAGCATTTTTTTTTTTCAACTCTGAGAGAGCCAATTATTAAACAATTATCAGTACACCTTTGGTTGGAATTTTAGGTGTATATGCATTTAGAAGTATATATACTTGTGTGTATACATATGTATGTGTGTGTACATATGTACAGGATAGGGACTCTGTTACACCCCAGTGCCTTTATGTGTAGCTGTACAATTTAAATTAAAACATACAATCTATACACGTATATATACATATGCTTATATGTGTATATGCACATATATAATTTATGACATGTGGAGATTATATAGACATATATGCATATTACCAGTAAACAGTGAAACTAAACTCTACATTTGTAAATGTAACCAGTAACCACTGGTAGGAGATAGACATCAGTCTACACTGTACACCATATTTCTATCTATGAGTGGTCATGCTTTTTTTTTCAGACCAAACCTGTGATTTTGTCAGGTAATTCAATAGGTAATTCAAAATGAGAAATCTCCTTCTTTTAATGCAGATCAATCCCTGCTCTGCAACTGGAAACACACACACACACACACACACACACACACACACACACACACACATATAGCATAGACATATACATAAATGTATAGATATACAGGGTGTCCCAAAAGTCTTAGTGCAGTTTTAAGCTTTAATGAAATATGCATACATATGCACACAATTTATATATATATTATATACATGCATATATGCATGCCTATATAAATGTGTATATATGTAAATGTTCCATCTGTATATACATAGATGTGCATAATCGGTACATATTCATATACATTCACATGTATATATATGAAATATGGTAACTATCACTCCATTAAAGTTCTACTCCATTTATTCATTATGATTTATTATGGTATACAGGTGATCTAGCAGGTTCTACAAAGCTGGGAAGACTAAGTAGTAGCCCAATGTAATATGCCTGTCATCTGAGGCTCAGCCTAACTATTTTCAGAGCTTCACCACACTTTCCTCTCCCAAGCACACATGCGTGAGTGTGTGTGTGTGTGTATGTGTGTGTGGAGCTGGGACTGTATGTGAAATATGGCCATTGGCAAGATGAAATATACCAACTTGCAAAGTTGGACCCAAGAGAAAATTAATTCCATGTTTAATTTCTGTTGCCAAAGGGGGAGCTTGGTTTTCCAGGAGAAAATGGCGCAGTGGGACCAGAAGGACCAAGAGGGCAGCCTGTGAGTCTCATTCTTTAATTTCTGAATCTTGGACCAACCCATAAATAAACACATTTCTCATTTGTTATGTTTCTCTTTTCCCTTTGGGCATCTTTAATCTCTTTTTCAGTAAATGACTTCTTAAAATATGAGTCACTGCAGCTAATCTTGAGGGTCAAACCGCAATGAAAATATTAAAACATTGGGGAGTTGCCTTCTTTTTGCCCTTCTCACTAAAATCCTCCCACTTAAAATACAGTCAACTTTTCTGGGTCCTCAGTTCTGTTGACTTGCACTTTTACCCACTGATACTGACTTAAAAGCATCTCAGTTGAAATGGTTACTTCCTGGAATTTCTCCAAAATCCATAATTTAGACCTAAGGGGTGGTGGTAGTGGTAGTAGATGCTCATGATGCATCTTACACTTGTAAGAGACAAGATTTACCACCATGTTTTTGGACCTCATTCTCATCAGCCACACCAGAGAACTCAGCTTGAGCTTTCTTTGCTCTGCACAATAAGGGCACAACACCTTCAGGGTCTCTCTCTCTTTTCTTAGCTCCCTCTTTGTTTCTGGCTTCCCAGCTAAATATTGGCTGTAATTTCCTGTCTTCTGTATTACTTACAACTCGTGTTCAGGAAAGATACACATTTGTACGGTCATATCACATTTCCTCAGTGTTTGTTCTTTCTCCATCCTGGCATGAAGGCTAAACTAAATGACTTGTAAGCTTGTGCTTAGTGGTTTAGTCATGTCCAATTCTTTGTGACCCTATATGGTATTTTCTTGGCAAAGGTACTGGAGTGGTTTGCCATTTCCTTCTCTAGTGGATTAAGGCAAATAGAAGTTAAGTGACTTGCCCAGTCTGAGGCTAGATTTGAACTCAGTTCTTTTTGACTCCAGACCCAGCTCTTTAGCCACTGAGCCACCTAACTGCCTCCTTGTAAGCTAGGTGGCACAACAGGTAGAGTACTGGGCTTAGAATCAGGAAGACTTGAGTTCAGATCTTCCCATAGACAACTTATTGACTGTGTGATGGCGAGCAAGTCACTTCACCCTTCATTGTTAAAGGGATTAGACTCAGTGACCTCTAAAGTATCTTTCCCATCTATACCTATGCTCCTAAATCAGCAAGTTTCTTTATTATTTCATCCTATGTAAAAGCAGAGCTTTTGTTTAAGAACACCATTTGGATCTTCTTATATGGCCCAAAGGTCCTGTCTGAAGATTAGAGACTCTTTGGCTCCCTAATAATTATTTTTTATCCCAAAGAATCCCTTTACTCTCTAGTCTGAACCTACGTATTAGGCTTCTAGCCTCCACAACCACCATTCCATCATGGAACCATTGAGATTATTCCTTGGCTGGTGATTCAGGTGTCAGAGTGACCTTGTTAATTAAGCCCTTCCCTTTATGTCTTCTTAGGGTATAGATGGCAATGATGGGCATGGTCACTCAGGAAGAAAAGGAGCTAAGGTAAGTTCAAATTATTCATTTACTCTGAGTCAGAGGCTGTCTCTTCCTTGAAGGCGAGAGTGACCCGATTTAGTACCCGGGCTGATGACCACATTCTGTGGATAGCAAACTGATAGACCAAAACCAATATTATTTTCTTTTAAAGTTTAGTTTCAACATTTCCCTTTTTTCAAGAGTCTGTAACAGAAGAGACAAAGGGTGTGCTTGGTTGCTTTCACTTAGGATTCTTTTGGTCCCCTGGACTTATCATACGGTCAGAGCTGTGGCCTTATGGATCATTCTTCTGGTCCAACTCATTCACTTTACAGATGAGACAGCTGAGGCCTAGAGAATCGAAGAGACTTGCTCGACATCATATGTCTATCCGGTAACAAAGCTTGAACTAGAACACGAGCCTCCTAACTCCTTCTTTCTACCATTTTGGAAGTCTGACTTGTCCTTCAGTGGAGAGCTAGTTTAGTGAGGCATCGTGGGTAGAATCCAAGTCAACAAGCTATTTATGGAGACTCCCTGAGTTCGTGGCCTGAGAGCTGGAAAGGACCTTAAAGACCAGTGACACCGACCCCATTCATTTACAGACCCTGTGGCCATTGGCCAATAGATTCCTATGAATTCTTTTAGACGTCGCTCGACGCTCCTGGTAAAGGGCCGTAGCTCTTCCTTATGCTTCCAAAGGTGGTATTTGACTTATCCTTGCTCATCATTGGATCAGGCCTGAGGTGTCTGAAAAAAAATTCCTGATGAAGAATCCTGGATAGACATCAGACTGAAGGAGGGAAATTTCGGGAAAAATTATTTGAAAATTTTCTTATCTTAAGTTGTATAAATGAAATATGGTCCCTTAAGAGCGGCGGGAGATGAAAGCTCTGTGTAGTTGTTGTTCCTGGCAATGGTGTCCTATCTATTTGCTCAGAAATAAGAAATGTTTAACCTTTTCCTTTGAAGAGTTTCATAACAAAGGCTTAATTCAAAAGACATTGAGTCAAATTTCCTGTTGTCTTTGACATTAGGGTGAACCTGGCTTCCCTGGATACCCTGGCATACAAGTAAGTCAGCTGACTTGCAGGGATGCTGAACATTTGCTGTTGGTTAGCCCTTTGACCTCCTCATTCTCAAGAATCTGACTTTAAATCTCTAAAGGGGGAAGATGGTGATAAAGGCCAATCAGGAAACCAAGGACCAAAGGGATTTCCGGGGAAAAGGGTAAGCCTCAGAGGATTTGGTGTGTGCTCTTGGATGTCTGCCATGTAATATACAGAGACCATACACAGGATTCTTTGAGAGGCTCTCTGGGTCCTTGGAGTTGTAAGATTTTCAGGGAATCCTCTAACATTTCTCTTCTTCTGTCTTCCCTCAACTTTCTCCTCTGAGCACACAAGTGTACAGTAGCAGGCTAAAATCAGTTAAAAATAAACTTGGGTACCTTTTTTTTTTTTAACACTGGTTGCTTTTTAGGACCATATTAGACAGGGTGGAAGAGGCAGCCTCAGAACAGACTATCTTGCCCTAAAATTCTCTCTGCCTTTTCTTTCTGCTAAGTTGTTTTCTGATAAGGTGTCTCCTGAGCTGACCTTACAAAGAAGCAGCCACCTAAGTGGTACAACTTGAGAGTGCCTAGGTGTAGTTTTCTGTTTTACCACCTGCCAAATCTCTCCTTCACTGCCTTTCATAGGGGCTAAAATTTTATTGTTTAAATTTCTCAAACCTTATTTTGTAGGATTGCTAATATCCTACTCCAGTGACTTGTCATGGCATGTAGGTGACCCTAGGCTCGCAAAGACCATCTCAATGGAGGGTAAACTCCAGTGGGTCTCATCAAAGTGGACAAGGTTTGTGTTTGTCCCCATACCATCCTTCATTCAAAGACCAATCTAGATAAGTTCTGAGACGTTCAGCACAAAATTGGCAGTAGGTGATGAGTTTTCTTTTGACCACAGCAAGACTGGAAACTGTCTACTATCTGAGAGGGTTCCCAAGGGTCATAATCAGTGTTGGTGGAGATAGTACCCTCACTGGCAAAAATCACAGGTCTTGGGAAATGCTGAAGTGCCTGAAAGATACCCTATGCTAAGCGCTGAGAATACAAAAGAGAAATAAGATATACACGAAGGGTAATATTCGTGATCAAAGTAGACTAGGGATGCTTCAGAAGAAACCATCTAGTTCATTTTCTATCTGGGCATACTAGGTGGCATCATAGTGCATAGAGCACTGGACTTGGAATCAGGAAGACTCATCTTCGTGAGTTCAAATCCAGACTCAGACACTGACTAGCTACGTGACCCTGGACAAGTCACTTAACCCAGTTTGCCTCAGTTTCTTTATCTGTAAAGTGAGCTGGAGAAGGAAATGGCAAACCACTCCAGGATCTCTGACAAAAACACTGCTCTTCCAATGGGGTTCTGAAGAGTCAGACATGACTGAACAACAACTGGGCAGGAATCCCCTATGTAATATTCCCAATAAGTACTCATCCAAGCTCTGTTTAAAAAAAGATTTCTAGTGAAGAAAGCCCATGACCACTTAGGCAGTCCATTCCAGTTTGGGACAGTTCTATTAGGAAGTTTTTCCTTATATGAACCAAACTGTTTCTCTGTGCAATGTTTCTCTACCTCCCCTATTCTCCCATTTCTGCCCTCTGGGGCCAGGCAGAACAAACCTAATCCTTCCTTGTGGGAGCCTTTCAGATACTTGAAGACTGCTGTCACGTTTTCTCCAAGTCTCTCAGCCAACATTTATATGACCCAGCTTTGAGTCTTGTCACTGTCTTGGATGACCTTCTCTAGCTATGCTCCAGCTTCTCAATGTCCCTCTAAAATGTGGCCCCAGAATTAAACCCAATACTCTGAGTGTGCTCTGGCCAGGGCATCTGACCTGGACACCTGACTAGGGCATCACTTTGGGGCTTTTTTCTCAGGCTCTGCAACTAGTTTTCCTTAGCTAGGAGGAAATCCCTCCTTGATGGCCATAACTGTTCTTTGCAAGTACATTCCATATTTGAAGGTCTCAATGGGTCCTGAGCCAACTTTTTAGATCTGTTTCAAAGATGTCTGGATTTTTCTATTGAAAGGCAAACCTTGTTCCACATCCCATTCTCCACATGCCACTAGGGGTTGATTCACAGGATTCCTTTTCTGTAAAACAATCCTTGGACTTTATGTCAAGCTTATTAACCTAGGTTTGCAAAGATATGATGGGGCTTTCGGTGCTGATGGCCAGGGGTAGGGGAGATGGTTTCTGAGGAGATAATAAAGTTGGTACCAAGGGAGACAGCATTTGACTTTGGTTTGATTCTCTTTAGGGAAATTCTGGCTCGCCTGGGCTGGATGGATCACCAGGAGATCCAGGGTCCCCTGGACCAATGGTAACATGTTATTTAGATTAACTTTTCGTGTAAAAAATACTGAATGTAGGAAGCCTCTTATTTGATTAGAAACTTCCAAGAGCCCCATACGCCTTGCTTCCCGTTGCCACTTCCATATACCGGCCTGTTGGGCCCCAGAGGTATTGAGTTAGTTTCAGGGCTGAGCATGGGCATTGGTGCCTTCAGAAAACTCACATTCTCTCACAGGAAACAATAGGCACGTATCCTGGCATACACCCAATAGAGACGAGGTGACCAGGGAGGAGAGAGGAGGGGGCAGACCATACAGTGGCATGTGGAATCCAGCCTTCTAATCCTTGGGTTCTCTTCATTTCAGGGCAGCAAGGGATCGAAGGGTTTGTCAGACATGATGGTGAGTGACAGTCTCGGTTTTGAATTTTATTCTGTCTAATGAGTATCTCGTTGGTTGTCCAATGAAAGCTGTCTACTTTTACTCATTATAGATCAGTTCATCTCTCAGAAAGATTCCTCAGTTTCCCTTCTTATGACTTATCCTAGCATGAAAAAGACTACAGGTTCCTTGATACATGTGATAATTTTGTTCCCAAAAAGCTAAGTGTAGATCAGTGGGTCTTTTTTGGTGAGAGGTCTGTGGTTTAAGTAGACTTTGGCTCTTCAAGGATTCTTGACTAATTGATGTGGTCAGCTCTCCACAGATGCAGATTGTAGCCCAGTGGGGACATAGTAGTCAGCTTCTGGGGTTATTATGACTGAAAAAGATAACCTTGGCCCCATAGTGCTCTCCTCCATTCCTCATCACCTAGTGATGAACCTTTCCAACCTTCTCTGGGCAGAGTTATAAATGGCAGGACATGCTGCCTAATGCTGGGCCCATATTGGAAATGTACTGAGGCATGGGGAGAGAGGTAGGAAGGGCCATTTAGATAAGTGGCCTGGCCATTTAGATAAAAGCATCTTGGAAAATCCTTTAAAAAAATTATATAATTCTCCCTCCCCCACCATTTTATATATATCTAATATATATCTATTTATAGATATATCTGTATTATATCTAATTTTATGTATGTTATATATTTATATATGTAAGTATATCTAATTATAATAATTACATGTATTTATTTATGTGTGGGTATAACACTAGGGGTCACTGTATAACAACATTAAGACAGAATAGAAGTGAAACTGGAGTCCTAACTGTACCCCGTCATATTCACTCTCCCTAAACTGCTTCAAGGGCTGCCAGTAGGTCAGTAATAATGAAAGTCAGGCTGTTAGCCATAGGGAGGCAAGGGCAGGTCCCAAATTCCCTTTGAAAGTTCTGCCTTGGGAAACTGAGGCTAAGGACAATCCCAGATAAATGACTTATCATACATGCCCCCAGTTAGAGAGAGATTCTCTAACAATGGACCAGGGATCAGGGGAGAAAAGCTGCCTGGAGGTGGGGGCAGGGAGGCCCAAACTATCCAAGCTGTCCATACAACAAGCAAAGGGACACAAGAAAATATAAGGTTTGGGTTGGCCATGCATGATGGCGACAAAAAAACCAAACCAAAACAAAAAAACAAAAAAACAAAACAAAACAAAAAAAACTAGCTTAGCACAGAACTGGAGTAAGAGTAGAGGAACACGCTCAGAGATGAGTGCCAGGCATGAGGATAAGGGCAGTCAGTTGCTCTATGGTCCTAATAACCCATTGGCTTTTACTGGATTCCAACCACATGACAAGATGCTCATCAGAGCAGTCTTATATATGTTGAGCAGTCCCCATGGTCTTTCTTCTTTCTCCCAGTGGCCTGAGAAGGGGAACTTTCTCCCTGGTTCACCATCACTGTTAAAACTAGTCCTAGCCTGCCTCACAGGACCCCTGCCATACCACCCTCCATGTTTTTTCTGCTCCCTGCCCTGAGGTAGTACGAACAATCGTCCCACCAAGACTTGAAACTACATTTCTCACAGGGGAGTCCTGAAGCCTGGATCTTCTCCTAGAGTCTGGCAGGTGATCTATGCATATATTTTGGTCTAGGCCTGTGATATCCTTGGCATAAGGGATTCTTACTGAGGAAATCCCCTTTAATAATGTGTATAAGCACTGAGAATTGCATGGGGGGCACTGAGAGGTTAAGTAGCCTGTATAAGGTTGCACAGCCAGGTTGTATGGAGGCCTCCTTGATCCCAGGTCTTCCTGACTCTATGCATTAAATCTCACTCACCGAAGGTATTAGGTGGCACTGTGGGTAGAGTGCTGAGACTAGAGTTAGGAAGACTCATCTTCCTGAATTCAAATCTGGCTTCAGATACTTCCTAGCTGTGTGACCCTGGGCAAGTCACTTAACTTTGCTTGCCTCAGTTTCCTCATCTGTAACATGAGCTGGAGAAGGAAATGGCAAACCACTCGAGTATCTTTGCCAAGAAAACCCCAAATGGGGTCACAGAGGCAGAAATGACTGAAATGACTGAATAAAAGTAAAACTGAAAGTATTATTATATGCATTTTATGGATGAGAAAAGTGGAACTTGGAAAGAGAAGGCAGCATGATATAGTGGAAAAGAAAAAAAGACTTGGGTTCCAATCCTAGCTTTGTCATTGGCTACCTGTGTGACCTTGGGCAGTCATTAAACAGTTTCCTGGAAAACGAAGGAGTTGCATTAGCTTTCCTGCTAGGTCCCTTCTAACTCTAAAGCTGTGATCTAAAGGTAAAACAACTTGGTCATAACTTCGAAGGCAGAATTCAAATTCCGGTCTTCCTGATTCCAAGTCCAGGTCTCTGACCATTCTTCCGTGCTGTTTTTCCTTATTATCTAAACCTGAATTTTCATTATGGGGTTTCTTTCATCCAAGGTACCCCTAGGTTTTATCTTAAGGTGTTCCACTGTTCTCTTCCATGCCTGGGTTAGTCTGCCTGATTCTGAATAAGTATCAAAGGTAGAGTCAGAAGCCTAGGGTTTGAACTCCAGCATTTCTATTTTGTACCCTAGCCTCAGTTTCCTTACCTGTAAAAGAGGGGGATACCCTAGATGAACTCTGAAGTGCCTCCTTGTTCCATATCTATGTCCTCATGATAAAGGAGGGACAGGACAACAGGGCTTTCAGCAGTGGGAGGTGGTGGGCAGAGTGATGGAGGGAGGGAAGGAAGCAAGGTCATTTGCTGAGAGCTAGTGGTGGCTGTCCACAGGACCATTCCAGGAAGGGCAGGGTGTTGTGGGGGCCACCATCTTAGAGATCAAAGAGTTGAACTGTCCTGATGCTCAGGAGATGCTCTGTGACCTCAGCCTCAAAGAAGTTAGGATTGAGGGGAAAGGAAGAACAAGATAGGACAATCTATACTCTACAGCAGATAAAAATTATTTTTCTTCACATGCATAAAAACTGTGAGGGTTATAAAATGTCAGATGTGCCCAGTGTCTGGAGATATAGATGTGATGCAACAGTCTTGAAAGGCAACACAGAATAGTGCAGAGAGAGCTGGCCTCAAAGTCAAGAAGACCTGGGTTTGGGTGTTGCCTCTGACACCTACTGGCTGTGTGATCCTGCCCGAGTCACCTATCTGTCAGTGCTCCAAAGACAAGGATGTCAAATAGAAATTGATCCCCGTGGGCTGTATATTGACTTAGGAAACCACAAATCAATATTATTTGTCATATTATATCTTTGCTTTGTAGAACATTTCCCAGTTACATTATGATCCAGTTCTGGGCACACTTGGGAGTTTTGCTGCCAGGTGAGGGGTGGGAGGAAGGTTTGACAGTGCCATTGGTGGCAGGTTCTAGGCCGTTCTCTTAGGCCAGACATGTCAAACACTGCCAGCAGGCCCAGGAAACACTCTCCAGTGTGACAGCCCAGAGCAAATTTAAATTCCATTGGGAAATAGTTAACAAAATAAATAAAAATATACTATGACATAGATAATATTAGTTTATGGTTTTCTAAGTCAATATATGACCTGCAGGGGTTGTTTCTAAGTTACCCCTACACCGGGAGATGGAGTTTCCTCACCCAGAAATTCTCTATCTCAAGGAAACCACAGATAGCTTCCCTATTCCCATCCCTACGCAACCTTGGACTTTTCTGCAAAAGAAAATCTGACTGTGGATGTTGATACCCTTATGAAATATTTATCAACTCTATTAAACATTTCTAAATCGCTGATATTTTCTGCTTTCTTTTGTTCCTTTCCTTTAAATAGCCTTGTGACATTGTTGACTTCACGAGAAAAAACTGCCGTGAGTAGCCCAACCTCTCCCTGCCCTCTCTGGGCAAACCTGCACATCCCCTGCTTGACTGTGATAGCTTCAGGAATGGCCCCTGTATCCCCAGCGCCCAGCACAGTGCCTGGCATGTAGTAGGGGCTTCTTAAATACTTGTTGATTGGTTAATGGCTGTATGCTCAAGTGGTCCCTCACCATCTGACTTAACTGAAGGTCTGGAAGGCACAACTCTCGATGAAAGAGCCATAAAGTGAGAATGACACCATGACTTCAGTCCCTCTCTTAATAGTCACGAAGCTGTACAGATAGCAGGTCTTTGCACACTGTGTCAGGATGGAGAACAAGCCTTGCACGGGGCTTGAAACCTGGTAGATGGAACACTCGTGGGCACGCTTCTCATTTTGTGCTTGGGGACGGCCACGGCTTGGCAGGATGTTTCCTAAAGTGCCTGATGTTTATAGCGTCCCTTAAAGTTTGCAGTGTCCTCTGTGTCTTTAGGTCTGGTAACAATCCTGTGAGGTAGACACTGGAGAAATTGATTATCATCCCTATTGAGCAGTCCCGATGAGGAAACTGAGGCTCAAGCAACTTGCATAGTCAGAGAGCTAATAAATGGAAGAAACGGGGTTTGAACTACCATCTTACTGACTCTGAGCTTAGCACTTTATTCAAATACTAAGGCATTTACACAGAGCTTTATAAAGACTTTAATAAGGGAAACTGGGGCAGTGAGGTGGCATAGTGGATAGAGCGCCGGCCCTGGATTCAGGAGAACCTGAGTTCAAATCTGGTCTCAGATACATAACACTCACTAGCTGTGTGACTTTCGGCAAGTCACCTAACCCTAATTGCCTCACCAAAAAGAAACAAATAAGGGAAACCAAAGTTGGTTCTTCAGTAGAAATGAATACCATCTTGCTTGGGTGACAGCATAGCCTATGAGAAGGAGATTAACGTAAGATCAATCTGGAAAGACAGGTTGGAGACAATGGGGAGTTACTGAAGCATGTCCAACAGGGGAGTGGGCTTTGGGACTTTCGATTCCTCAGCTGTTGTGGAGGATGGATTGGAGTGGGGATACCCTAGGATATTTTTATCCTATCAAACACCTATTTTTCCCAGCACCAAGGGAGCTTTTCCATCTGACCAACAGTCAGGTCTAATTTATATGCCCCCGGCCTTCTTCCTTGCCTTGTCTCTTTCTATTCTACTATTATTTAAAGAAGCTCTAGTATGAATTCTTTCTTTCCTAGGGCCATGTGCCTTGAATGGCTCTGTAAGAAGTTAGATATTATGACCGCAAAGATTCCTGTGAAGGGATATTTCTTTGGCTTCCTGCTGAAAGCATGAGCAGTGAAAGAGATGCTTATTATCTAAATACCAATTATGCCATTTTTTTTTCTCTTTTTCTTCCTTTCCTTTCCAGCTTGTTCATCACGTAAGTAACTGTGTATTTTTTTCTTGCTTAAAAACATGGAATTTTCAGAGTTGTTACTGACGTCTTAGTTATTTATTATTTTCTGTTTTCAAGATAAAGCCAAATGTCCAGTATTCCCAACTGAGGTGGTCTTTGCTCTGGACATGTCTGAAGAGGTTACAGAGTCAGAATTTGAGAGGATGAGGGATATTTTGCTGTCGCTGCTAAGAAGGATGAGCATCAGCCAAAACAATTGTCCAACTGATGCCCGGGTGGCCATTGTTTCCTACAGCAACAGGGTACATTACTTGGTTCGCTTCTCAGACTTTCAGAACAAGAATCTACTCCTCCAAGCCATCAGGAACGTACCTTTGGAGCAGTCCATGGGCCAGCGGGACCTTGGCACTGCCCTGAGATTTGTGGCAAGAAATGCCTTCAAACGTATTCGTAACGGCATCCTCATGAAGAAGGTCGCCATATTCTTTGTGGCAGGCCCGTCCTCTGGTGGTGATTCTATCCACACAGCCATGCTGGAGTTTAGTGCCCTGGACATCGTTCCCACTGTTATCGCGTTCAATGACGATCCCCTCATACAACATGCCTTGTCGGTAAGTTGTTACTTGGTATGCCACTAGGAATAGATTGGTGGGTAGAAGGGGGCCTTGATGCAGACCTTGGAAGGTTTGGAACACCAAGGTTGAGTACAAGGAAACTTGGAACATACAGCAAGGTAGTAAAACAAGCTAACTTTATTGGGGGATATTTTTATAATATGGAGGGCAGTCAGGGAAGATGATGGAAACAGGTTGGGACTGCTGGGAATGGAGCCCCCTCCCAAACTAGTAAAGTCTGGTGGGTTTTGGTCGGGTTCTTCTCTGGGACCCGCAGGACCAGGCATTGGGAGAAAGGAATGAGGATTTGGAGCCTAGTGATTGTTCATGCTACTGGGATGAAGGAAGACTTTGGGGACTAGAGATTAATTGATATTCAAGCTTGCAGGAGGGAAAGAAACTTTGGGCCGTCACTTTTGGCCTTACTCTGACAGTCACCAGGAGGTGTGACAGTTTCTTAGTTTAGTGGGATGCTATGGGCTCATTTCAAAATGGGAGGGGAGTTTTTGGTTAGTACATATCAGCTCTTCAGTATGCAGTTATTTAGTACCTACTATGTGCCTGGCACCATGCTAATTTGAGAGCTGCCTTAGGGAAGGACTTTACAATGCACAGATGCCTACAAATGGGCAGCATAACTCTGGAGAAAGGTTTGGGATTCAAATCCTGCCTCTGACCCTGACTACTTGTATGACTTGGGGTAATCTACTTAATATCCCTGGTCATTAGTTTCTTCAGCTGAAACAAGCAAGGGTTAGGATTCCTCTGAGCTCCTTTCCTGCCCCAGATTTAGGATCCTGTGTTCCTAACTCTGGTATTGAATGGCACAACAGGGTCACCCCAGGGAAGACATTCTGGAGCAACATGTTCTGTCAAAAAGGAGGAAACTTTCCCTTCCAAATGTTTTGTTCTGGAGTTCATCATTGCCTCTCTCCATGTGTGCCCTTCATGATGGTCAAGTGGCTTATGTGTAAACTTTCCTGTTTCCTGGCTGTCAGAGGAATCAGCAGACAATTAAGATTTAGACTGGAAGTCTTGGAGAAAATACCAGAGCTCTGGTTGATATTTTTAAAGATCTAAGTGGGAGGAAGTACTTGACTCCTTGAGGTTCACTTCCAGAGTAAAACTATATTCTCATGTGAAATACCTCATAATGCCTCTGCCCAAGACAGAATATTGAGCAGGATGGTCATTGGTTTGGCCACTGTTGCTCAGCAGAGGTCACAGTGGCTGCCTTAGCTGTGACCTCTACTTGAGCTCTCTACTCCTCTTTGCCCCTCTCTTCGAGAGTGAAGGAAAAACTCATGGCCCCTGGGGTAAAGCACTTACATGCTTAGAGGTAATGAATCAGCTCAAGAGGATTTTAGTCTACTTTAAAGGTTCCAGTACCAGATAGCCTCCTTTCTCTGCAAGGCTTAAAAAAATCTACCTTAAAGTACAAATTGCAAATAGGATTCATAAAATGCTCTGAATTCCCAGGCAATCTGTTGATTACCAAGGGAGGCCAGTGATCTCCCAGATAGTTGATTTTGGCTTGATCAATTATCCACAGGTTTCCCCTTTCTCTCATACTTTCTATAAGAAAAACAAAAACACAGTTAAAATGATCTTACCTTTATATGGAAAACCATTTTTAAAAAATGTAAATAGCATGTAAGCAAGACTTTGAAATATCAGAAATGTGTAGTAATGAATGCTAGCCTCATTACTAAATAGGAGAGAGAGAGAAAAAAGAAGAAAGAAGAGAGAGAAGGGGAAGAGGAGAGGGAGAGAGAGAGAGAGAGAGAGAGAGAGAGAGAGAGAGAGAGAGAGAGAAGCGAAGCATTTCCTGGAGGTAACGTGGTTATATAGAAGTCCAGAGGGTGAGTGAGGTGAAACATGATTGAGCTCTTCTGAAATAGGAGTCCCAGCAAGAGAGTTTTTCCTCATTTAGGAAGGCTCAGGGCCAGTTGTTCTAAGGTAGAAAGGTCACTAGTGAGGAAGAGAGGTCTGGTGAGTGAATCAAGGCCCCAACCAGGAGCAATGGTAGCATTAATTTGGTCATGGTTCCTAAGCTGGACCTAGATGAGTGATTAAGAAAGTGTATACTCTTTAGCAGCAAGTTCAGCTGGTGAAGGTGTGGCTGTAGAATAGTGAACTAAGTGAAGCATGCTGGGACTTTTCGTTTAAAGACAAACTCCACTATTTTAGGAAAGTTAAAGCCGAAAGAGGAAGGATGACTTACTCAGAGTCACGTAGGTAGTATAAAATGGATGTCGGATTCAAACCCAGGTCCTCTGACTTTGATAAATTGGAGTTATTGTTATATTGCCATCTCATTGCCATTATCATCACTGTCATAAAGAGTGAACATATTTTAGAACTTTAATGGTTAATAAAAAAATGAATGGTTCTTGAATGCCTCTGACAGATATCTGGGCAACAGCTTGGGGAGGAAGAGAGACAAAAATGTGGCTGTAGTTCCAGTGAGCTTGGATAGTCATGTAGGATTGGTCATGGAGTCTTTGTTGATTTTTTTTTTTTGTGATTGTCTATCTCTATATGACCTGATCCCGGTCAGGAGTGGGAAAGAACCAAATTATTTCTCTTCCTATTGGCTTTGCTTAAAACTGCTTGTTGACTTGTGGGGTGATTTTCTTCTCCATGATTATTACTGTGCTGTTTTTATTCAAAACCATAACCATATGTATCTTCTGGCAAAAAGAACATTGATGACTTTTCAATAGAAAAACATGATCTAAACAAGGCAGCCTGTCCCCTAAAGACAGGACCAAATGACAGGATATTAGAGTTGGATGTGGCCCCAGAGGTTGTCAAGTCCATTTTACAGATGAGAAAACTAAGGTGCAGATAGAAGTAGCTTAACCAAGGTCATGCAGCTAGAAATTGATGACTTACACCCAGGTCTTCTATGTTTTTTTTCACTATTTAATGTTGTTTCATTAATGTACCAGGGCTTAGCTGAGTTCGTGGCACATAGTGGGAGCTTAATAAATGTTTTTGGGCTGTCTTAGAAGCTGGATTTGAAATGCATGTTGAGACTTTCAGTCACTTATCCTCCCCCCACCCCCACACTTCCTGCAGCCCCTAAGTACACATTTCACTGCAGAGTTTAGGATCTTAAGACAAATTTTCCCTGTTAAAACTATTCAGCTTGCTTCTATGTGTTCTGTACTAAAAGAGAAAAAAATGCTCAAGTTATTTTATAAGAAGAAAACAGTGGACAGATGGTTCAAGGGCGAATGTAATATGCATTCTTCCAGATTTGCATGGTTCACTTTTCCTATAAAATGTGAGCACGTTTTCCTATGAAGTAATATGAAGTGCTGTGATACAAATTTTATTTAAATGAATGACTCTTGAATTCAGAAAGCAAAGTATTGGCATGTGTCAGTTTTAAAATCTCAGCACAGTGCCTGGCATATAGTAGGCACTTAATAAATGCTTGATGACAACTTAAACTCTGGGTTTCCATTTCTAAGAACTACTCATTTATAGAAGTTGTGGGAATGAAATGAGGGAGTGTTAAGTACACCTTGCCAGAGAGATAGAAGTAATTAATACGTGAAAAAAAAGTCCGAAACATGAATTAGGTCATTATGATAATTAGGTATTATGGTAATCAAGAGATTATCATAAAGAAGGCAGCCTTATGCTTAGGCAGAATAGACAGGCACCTGTGTTGAGCAGTGCAGGGAAAGCTCTCTCTCCTTCCCTAAGATTTCGAGTTCAGCCCAGCTTCCTTTTCCAACAGGGAGGACATGGAAGTCCACAGACTCTCAGTGACTTGCTAAAGGTTGCACAGGTAGTAGAAGAAGCAGGGAATATTCAAACTACCTTATCTGAAAACCCATGAACCATTTCAAGCACAGAGATTCACAAATGATTCTATAGGCAATTTTATAGCATCAGTTCAAGTGTACAGTTATCCATGGCAGAGCTATTCAGTAGGTACTTGGTGTTAGTATATTTTAATGGATCTCTGATCTCATCCCTGTGGATAGTCCCTCCAGTAGTGCAGATTGCGACTCATCCACACCTATACCTCTTCCTTTTCTTATCCATGACCTTTCTGTAAATACAATAATCAACTGAGCATACCTAGCATCTCCCTCTAGGTCTTTCAACATTCCTTGGGTACCAAGGCCACACTTGGGCTTTTCATCTATTCTTTCTTGATCTCACAACATGACCATCCCAATCCCTATTAATCATCCAACAAACAGATATTTATTAAGGGCCTATCATGTGCAAGGCAGCACCCAGCACCAGACAGATGCTGCACTCAGATTGGATACTCACCAGAGAAGACGTCACCATCATCCCTCATACATCTATCTCCCATATACAGCTTTCTCACACAACTAGACAGACTTAAGAATGTTCAGGGGATCGTTTGACTCCAGAGGCACAACTAGCTAGAAATGGAATAGAGACAGATTTCAACTCAATGTAATGAAGACGCTTCCTAACAATTAGAACTTCCCGAAAGTGGAATGGAGTCCTTTTGGGAAGTAATGGCTCCTTCCATGAAGATAGATGACCACTTGATGGGGCAGTAAGAGTAGAAAAGATTTCTGTTCAGGGACATGTTGGTCCAGACCAGTAGTGTTAAACTCAAATAAAAACGGATCCCTTTTGGATTACATATTGACTTAGAAAACCACAGATTGCCATTATCTATGTTGTGTTGTATTTTTTATTTATTTTGCTAAATATTTCCCAGGTAGCAAGTGGAGTTTTACCTGGCCCCAAGTTTGACAGCTCTGGATCAGAAGACCTCACAGGTCCCTCCAACTATTGCATTCTGTGATACTGGGTGCAAGAGTGAGGAAATACCCGAATGTGTTGATGTGGTCTTTAGTGATCCAGATTAGATTGCATGATTTCCATTTCAAGGCCCTATGCTGACACAATCTCTCTCTCTCTCTCTCTCTCTCTCTGCTGATGAAGAGACACTGAGGCTATAAATGTACAAGTGCCCTTACCCTTCTAGG